AGTTTCCTGCTTCTGCAGAGGACCTTTCAGCAGAAAGCCCTACAGGAACAGGACAGCCCTCAGCCCTGCGGTGACCAGAGGCCCTCGTCCTCTGGGGATTCTCGCATGGCTGGAGATGCGCACTGTGCCGTGACGCTGCGGGAGCTTCTGTGCAGGAATGGGGCCCAGAGCTTCCGCTGAGCAAAAGGCACAGCCTGAAAGCATCCCCTCCCACGGCAGGAGCAAAGTGACTGTAGGGGCTTCCCAGCTTTTGGCAGGATTCTGCTGGATGGGAGCCGGCCGCTCAGCGGGATGGGAAATTTCTATTGCGCAGCACCTTCCCTCTTACGTGTCCGTATGCAGATAGCAACTCCATGTTGTATTTTGATGACAAAATGAGCATACTTCTCATGCAAATTACTTCTGTTATGAGAGGGCATGCGAGCAGGTTGCAATTCGGCAAGTGTTTCACATTGACGTGGTGTTTTTGGTGAGGTCAAAAAGCTTTGGACACAACTCCTACTCAAGTCCTGTGGGACCGGTGCAGGTAAGGCAGGATTCCCGTGCAACAGAGAGATGTGAATCTTCCCCTTTGCAAACCTCTTCCCAAATGCTTTTTAAGCCCCCGAAGCCTTTTCTGCCCTCAACAGATGTGGGCTCTGTACAGCCTTTCTGAAAGTATCAGATAATGAGACCGAGAGGTGAAACTGCAATATGTCGCATCTTGTGAGTCTTAATTTTGGTAAAACCCCACTGGGAAAGATGGATAGCACGAAAGTCGAGCCCATCCATGCTTTACGAAGCAGGTGTCGGGCTCTATGAATGACCACATCGGCAATTAAATGGAAGGCTTGCATTACTAAAATGGAAAGAGTATTCTGGGCTGGGAGGAATTGGGACATGCGGGTGAGACTTATGGTTAAGCCACTTTCTGTCTATCTCAGCTTCCCCTTTGTAGCAGGAGTTCTCTTATTCTGAAACAGATCATTTTTGGCAGCCCTCACCACCACACGGCCAATGCAGCCATCCCCCCATGCTGGAGCAGAGCACAGGTTCTGCACAGTGCTCCCATGGCTTCCACTCCTTTACATCTCCTGGAGGTGAGGAGGAGACCTTTCCTACAAGGGCGGTGTGCAGAAGCATGCAGGAAGGATGCAGGCAGGGCATGATGGCACATGGATCTGCCAGAACTCAAGGCTGCTTTGGTGCTTGGCCATCTTCCACTTGTAGACAAAAACGAAGGGACTGGGCATAATTGTGCAATAAAGTCCTGTGGCACTGATCTGTTTCACTCCGTTGGGCAGCTGTAGCGCTAAGCAACTGAGCAGAAAGAGGCCAAACACCTCACTGAGTTGTTGGTAAGCAAGTGAAATATTTAGTCTATTGATTTAATTACACTAAGGAGCCTCCCGAGTTCATTTCCTTATGCTGAGCAATGAACCATCGCTTGTCTCCTTTGCTCTTGCTCTGAGTTTCTCTGTTTATTGTACAGCAGATTCTCTGCCCAAGATGTTTGCTTAGCACTTTGCATTTAACTAAATCCTTATTGAGATACACACCCTCAGCGTGACAAGCAGTGTAGGAAATAACCTGCTCCGGTCCAGTTCTCTTACTCTCTTGTCTTATGAAAGAATGGCAACACCTCACAGGAGATTTGGGATGTGTCAGAAGCACGGAGTGACTTCTGGCCTCCAAATGGACACACCACGCCAACACCATGGCCTCTGGTCATCATTTCAAGTGGAGAGACTGCTATGAGATGACAAAGTTGGTAATGACCAAAGGCAATATGGGGAAATGCTACATTTGGAGTTTCTTCAAGGTTTATCCACACAAAAAATGCTGTGTGCTCTGTTTGTCAGCCAAAGAATGGTCTGTTGGTTGTGAGTCCCAGAGCCTACCAGCCAGCCCAACCTGTTGCTATCAACACAACTCCCTAAAATTTTGCTAGAAATAAGTCTGTCTGCTTTGATCGTGACTCGTTTCCAAGCAGCAACAGCTGCAAACCAATGCTACCAGATTGAATACTTCTAAAAAGCATTTTGAAGAATGCTGAGTCTGAATTGAATTCAAAATGCAGACAAATGTAATGCAACGTTCAGTCTCTTGCTTCAATATTCCTCAGTGGACATTGGTTTCTTAATGTAAAAAGATCTGAATTAGAGTCGAAGCATGCAAGCAATGTATCCAAAGCTACACCTTATTTTTCTCCCCTTTCTTTTGAACTTTTTATTCACCAAAGTTCACTGCACACCACAGTGGTGTCAGCAGCTGCTCTATGGAATTTTCAAGACCGAAGGCCAAATGTCAGTGGTTTGTTAACTAAAATGCAGTTTTTTCTTGTTATCCAAGAGGAACCGTTTGCTTTTTGGCGTTAATGTAAATAAGAAAAAGATTTCTGTTGTATTTCTTTTCAATTTTCTTCTCTTACATTGGAAGGAAAGAGCAAAATGTTTGCTCTGGTTGCACTGACTGGTTGATAGCTTATCAAAATAGAGCACGAGCACAGAGAAAGGGAACCTTGTGAAGCGTGTTGCTTGCTTCTCTGCAATCTCAGCAAGCTGAACGGCAGAGCAGCTTTCAGCCCAACACCTCTATGGGCTTTTTGCTGTTGTCTCTGATGCATAGCACTGCAGGGAGTGCTGTGTTTGGTACCGTTTGGTGCTCTCCATCCACTTGGAGAGATTGCTCCGAAGGGTTTGGGGTTCATGCCAGGCTTTTCTCAGCAATCAGCAAATGCAGCGAGTGATAACATTGATGAAAGGAGCTTGGTTTTGTGAGGCGGCCTGACCAAAGCGTTGCAATGAGCTCAAATAAGTTTGCACACAGAAACTATGGCCAATCCTACTGGCTGGGTCGAGTTCCCTCTCTTCTCTCTACGCTTCCAATGCTTTGTACAATGCTCCAGCTCCAGCAAACAGCTGCAAATTGGACCTAGTGCCCGGTAAGGAGGATGTATGGCTGTTGTGCTGTGCACGCTTGGGCACCAAACTACATGTGATGCTGTTCTTTATTTGTTTTGGGTTTGTTGGTGCATTGCAGCTCAGTGTAACAGTCTTGATTAAGCATGAGTTCAAGGTAGGCTTGATGGTTCATTAAGGCAACCCTGATAGAAGAGGCTGGAGAGCACTCAGTCCAGCTGCATTCTCACAAGGATGCTCAGTGGTCATCACTTCCCAAAATACTTGTAGAAGATCAAGTTATTTTGCTTTATGAGGAATTGCACGCTGAAGGCCAAGCTCAGTTTGCTCTCTTTTTTCTGTGCTGCTCAGACATGGTGCACACTTGAGCAGTGGAAAAGCAGCTGTGCTAGCATTATTTTTATTTCTGGAGGTCAGCTTGGGGGGAACCGAAATATGTCATGCAGACTTTGGTTTTATTTCTTATCTTTTTTTTTTTTCTTTTTTTTTTTGGTTACTCTGCTTACACCGGAAACTGTGAATAGGTATATTTGTCAGCTTTTACAGTAAATTTCTTCTCTCCCATCCCCCAAACCTGGAGCCAGAAACCGCCATCCTTCCCCACCCAGCCCTGCAGGGAGGAGCTGTGAGGCAGTGTGGACAGGGCTTTGCCAGGGGGGCGTTCTGCCCCTCGTGCACCCTACAGCATGCTGGCTTTGGCAGAGCCAATGGTTTTGCTCGCCATGAACAGCAGCAACACCCAGTTGTGAGACATTCTTGGTAAGGTAGCAATGCGTCGCTTCCATATCAATGTCATGCAAGAGCAAGAAGCACCTTTGGGATGGGTTTCATTTCAGACCTGTCCTGTATTCAGTTTTCAGAGTTATCAGTGCAGCCCGCAGCACAGTGCTGTGTGGCACTGCCTTTAATTAGCGTTCAGAGAAATTAATGCCAATTAACATTGTAAAAGCAGAGCTGTATTAAACAAAGTGACTTTCATTCCCTGTGCTGACTGCATCTCCAAAGCCACAGGAGCTATGAGAATGCAGGCAACCTGCTTTGAAGTTCCACAAGGAATGGTCAGAGAGGGCAAGTGCGCATTAGGCAAAGGCTGAGAAATCAGCTCTGCTTCAGCTATTGCTCCAAAGCATGGAATTTTCCCTATATGCATAAGGGTAACAAACAAAGAGAGCAGTTCCACGCATAACTGTGGTGTTATCTGCTGCCAGAAGTATTTATAATGGCCTCTGAAGATTTTGTGATTAAATGGTATGTGGTGGGGCTGAAAGAGCAAACTGGTGGTATTGCAAAGCTGAGGGAAAGTAAGGATTTCGTTTTTAAAAGGAGTCCAAGCAGAAAAGTTAATGCTGTCAAACATTTTTGAGGTTCTCCTGTAATTTTAGACTCGGTTTTTCATTTTGTTCTGCAGTGCAAAGCACAGATCGTAAATCTGAATCAACGCTTCCTACTGGGATGGTGCTTTTCATGGATGATTTGAGCTGGATATCCAGCTGGGCTTCTTCATAAAGCCAACTGCAATCCTCAGAAATGGAAACTTACCAACTGACATGCTTACAGACCGAAGGGCAGCAGCAAGTCTTGCTATCAGTGCTTCTGAAAACACAGGGCCTTCCTGAGCTTTGCTATCCCGTGGTCTCCTGCTCTAAACTGCCTCCAGTGACACTGTGTGTAACGTTGGGTGATAATATCTGCTGATGAAGAATGGTGTTTGCTCTGCACTCCTTGTCTCATCATTTACCTTGCTGAGCCCTCCCTGCCTGCTCCAAAAGCCCTGGGGCACACGTGTCCAATGAGAGATGGCTGCAATGGCTGTCCAAGTGGGGATGCTCTTCACGTTTGGTACTGTTTGCTTTTGAATAACATGTTTAAACCATAGCATATTTCTCCCAAATCTCTCATCACCCAGCCTGCAGGTTCACTCGGACCCGTTTGCCCTCCAGGTTTTGTAAATCACTGCACTGCACACCTGTGGCACAGGAGCAACAGGAAGCAGACAGACCAAAGGGAAAGTGCATCATGTAGGAGTGTTCTGCAGGAAAACGGGGGCAAGAAAAGACAATAAACACCACCTGTCTGTTTGTTTCTTTTTCTTTTTTACAGCTTCTGCTTCAGAACAACAGCCACAGCCTCGCCCCTACCAAGGGGTCCGCGTCAAAGAGCCAGTGAAGGAGCTATTGAAAAGGAAACGGGGAAATGTTCATAATGCCACTGCAGCAGCAGCCACAACGGTAGGAGGAAGAAAGAAATGCAGGAGCAAAGCTTGGTTGGGTGGCTGGGAGGCCCTGGCACCGCTTTGTGCAATGAGAGAAATCTTTGTATCACCAGAGTGTTCAGAGATAGCGGAACCTCTCGTTACCTGGAGATACTATGAAATATGTTTTAAATGCAATATATAAGTTAGATGTAAATGAAGACCATGTTTTGAGCAACCTGGGAGTTGTCCCTGCCTATAGCAATTGGGTTGGAAGTATGTGATCTTAAAGGTCCCTTCCAACCCAATGCCTTCTATGGAATAAATATGTTTGCACCTTTACAGTTCTGGGCAGCTTCAGCCGCCATTGATTTGGCTGAATGGAGACAGGGAGCTGCTTATGGTATTAATCCTTGGATATTTTTCTTCTCTTTTCTAGGTCGTTTTGCCCCACCAGCCCCTCCCTTCCTACACACCAATGGGTAATACTTCCTTGATTTTCTACCTGTTTCTCAGCCCCGCTGCAGAGAAAGCCACACAGAACTGAGCTGTGATCCCCTCCTGTCTTCCAGGCCAGCCGTGTATCGACGTGGATGCTGCTGCCCCTCCACTGCCCAGCACAGAGGAAGGAGCACTGTGTTCCAGCTGGCTCTCCCAGCCCTCTCCCTCATCCCTGCAGCCTCTGACTCAGTGGACCACTTACCCCGACTACGTGTCCCACGAAGCAGCCAGCTGTCCTTACACTGCAGACATGTACATCCAGCCTATGTGTCCCAGTTACACGTTGGTTGGGCCTTCGTCTGTACTGACTTATGCTTCTCAGCCACTGATCACCAATTTCGCAGTAAGTCGAAGGCACCTGGGTATAAATGATGGCAAATTCCCCACCTTCCAAAAAGCGTCAATGGGGAGTGCAGGATGGAACTCATATGATTTAATTATTGTCATGCAGCTCATTCTTGCATGTATTCTCATAGTGTAGCCCCTTCTTGGGCATTGGAGAGCTCTGAAGTTGCTTTGAAATTGGAGACTCCTCTGCCAGCTCTGCCAGCTCTCCACACTCCTTTAGCACTTTTCATGTTGCTGATACAGCCTGTTCTTGCTGCTGTCCTGAGAAATGAGTCATCTGCCACCATGTCAGCAACAGGGCTGCCATTGCCTTGAGTTTGTTTGGCTCTGTGGACGTTATTTATTGTCAGGGAGTATTGTTTGCAGCTCAGGAATGTTAATGGAGAGTGTTCAGCTTACTGTTGTCATCGGTTCCAGCTGGAGTAGGGGTTCTTCATCTTGGATTTGCAGTAGCTGAGAAAGCTGTAGTTCTGAGTGGATTTACTCTATGGCTCATAAACACTATTGTCAAATCAAGTACTTAGGATCATAGAATGGCTCAGGTTGGAACTCAGAGATCACCCAGTTCCAACCCTCTGCCACAGGCAGGGCTGCCACCCATTGGTTCAGGCTGCCCAGGGCCCCATCCCACCTGGCCCTGAGTGCCTTCAGGGATGGGAGGGAAGCTGTCCCTCCAGAGGTCTGTCCAGTCGTCATGGGATTCTTCACTATTTAATTCCAAATATTTGGAAAAAAAACAAAACAAACCAAAACAAAAACAAACAGAAGTGAAGGGAATTCTGGGAAACACCCACTGGACATGCCAGGAAAATGGCTTGGTAAAAAAATGCTGCCAAAGAAGGCAGCATTCAGCGCAGAGCGAAGCTGTCTCGTGGCCTTGCAGCGAGGGTGGGACTGGGAACAGAAAGCTGAAGGGAACTCGTCATGAGCACAAGCTACTGCCCGCGAGCACCTGGGACACCCACAGCCACTGCTCTCATGGGAGCCAGCGTGGGAAAACTGTCACCTTGGGTGTAAAGCTTCCCCAGAGAGACAGGAAAAGGGATGTTCAAAGTGAGACTGAGCATCCTTCCCCTCGTTTCCCGTCCTCCCCGCGCCCCACCCTATGGCCAATGGTTTTATTCTGTCCAATGTCTCTCCTTCCCACCAGCCCCGAAGCAGCACCCCGGCCGTGGTGCCCCAGCTGGAGGTGACGGAGCAGCAGCCACCCATCACCTACTTCCCGTGGGCTCAGCCCCTCTCAGCACTGCCAGCCCCCACCCTGCAGTACCAGCCGGCCTCTTCCACGCTCCCCACGCCGCAATTTGTGCCCCTGCCCATCTCCATCCCTGAGCCAGCCCCGCAGGAGCTGGAGGACGCCCGCAGGGTCATCGGCACACTGCCCCTAGAGAAGCTGCTGCTGGAAGATGAAGACAATGATACGTATGTGTTAAACCACGCTCTCTCTGTTGAAGGGCTTTAAGCTGCACGTCTTGGGTCCGGTCCTCGTATACTCAATGCTCCACCACGAGCACTGAGTACAGAGGAAACCCGGCCCAGAGTTGACTTGGGGTTTTATTGTCCGCCTCCAGCACACCGTGGCTGAGTGCTGAGTGAAACTTGCTTTGTCCTGGGGCCCAGCACCCAATGTCTGTGCTGTTACAGCCTCAGCACGAGGTGACTTTCATCTCACAGCCTGAAATGGACAAACCGTAGTGTAGCCGTGGCCAACTGCAGTGTTGGGTGAGGGTGCCCTCGCCTCTAAGTGTTGGCAAGACCTTTCCAGTAGGACTGCTTTCTAGAGCTAATGCCTTGTGTATGTCTTTGCTCTGTCTGTAGAGCTGTTTATGCCGCTAGAAAATGTTTGGGGGCCTGCATTGGTACTTTTCAAAATTGAACCACCCCTTTGGAAAACAAGAAGATGTAGAAGGTCCATTTGTTCTGCTGGTGCAAATGGGTGCATCAGTCCAAAGATGAAAAGTCGATACAGTTGAACTACATGACAGTGCAGTAGGGTTTCCCTGTGCGCAGAGCAATGCAAAGTGGCCTGGGTGAAACCTCTGATTTCACGTGAAGGTGAAACTCAAAGCTCTCACCTTCTCTGTCCCTGTAAGACAGATGTGTAGGCATTGAAGGACAGTGCTTTGCAGTCGTGATCTTTCATCTACAGAGTGCTTTTTGGACTCTGAATTTTCATCTCGGAGATGGGGGGCTGATTCTGTGGCTGGCTGGTAATGCTGCGTGTTCTACCAATGGACAGATCCTGGTCCCACTGACGCCACCGAGAGTTTTGCCTGAGTCAGGATTGCACAGCATGGCCCCATATCAGCAAATCGTTGAGAAGACAGGGTCTTCCAAAACCTGGACTTCAGCCTAACAAGAAATTTGTGACATTACTATTAGCTGGCAATACTTTCATTTCTTCTGCAGCATTTGAGTACGAAGTTGTCGGTGTGCTGAGCCAGGGAACCTTAGTGACCTCTCTTGTGCCTTACTGTTATGGAAAGTTCCTCTGCGTTGTAGTTTCCCAAGCTCACAGGTGCACACATTCTCTCTTATGGCTTTCTGGTTTTCTTTCCCAGACAACGAGTAGCTTTACCTTTTCCTCTGATGCCGCTGTAAATCTTGTTGTTGATGTTCAGGAGTGCCATGCCACAGACATACTTGCAGATGTACCCCCTTCTGATTTTTGTTTATCGTTTCCTTAAAAAAACCTGGGGGCTCTTGTCTGGTGAACACAATTTCTCTGGGTTTTTCTGCTTTCTGAAGCCCAGGATCCTTAGCTGAATTCAGTACTTGTGAGATTATGCAAAGTAATTTATTGCACTGCTGACTGCCTGGTGCCCAGCACTCCAGTTGCCACCCAGGCAATATTTCAAGTAATGTTTTATGCCTGAGTGAGGTTTGCAAGATCAGAGCAAAAGTCTTGAGGACTTTCAAAGCGTATTTCATTGTTTAATATTCACAAATCTAGAAACACGAGCAACAGATCATGTAAGTGATCATAAATCACTTGAAAATAGCAGAAGTCCAGGCGCACCGAAATTAGTGGCTTACATTTGCAGAAAAACCCAGCAAAGAAATTAATTAGAAGGAGTTTGGTTCACTGCTGCTTACTCCAGTTTTATGAGTACAGAATCATTCGGTAAAACTGGGATAACAGGTGTGAGAACCAAACCTGTGGTTGCTAAGATTGCATTTTAATTCCTTTCACTTCAATGTATGTAAATTCTGTGTGTGGATACCAAAGATGAACTACTTCAGAATTTCTTTCTGGGTTGTTCTGGTTAGAAAAAAAAAAAACAAATTATTCTCCAATAAAGATCTACAGTAACTTCCATACGCCTGGAGTGTTTTATTTCCTATGCAGAAGTATAACCCAGCGCTGGGTTAGCAGTCAGCCCATGAGTACAGCCCAGAGCCCAAGGAGCTGTTGGGCTTTCTGCTAGTTTAGCACGTTGAGGCAGGCTAAAGAGGATCTCTGTGGTCCAAATGTGGGCTGGGAGCACTGCTTGCACTGCACTGCTGCTGTTTGGGTGTTGGTTTGATCACAGTTACCTGCTATTGGTAACCATGTAGATGCATGGTGTGCACTCACAGCTCATGCTGAGCTTGACTGCAAACCAGACCAGCCGTGAAGTTGCATTTCTACTTCCTAAAATTGCAAGCTGTGGCTCTGGGGTACAAAATCACCTGGGGGAAGAAGTGACTGCCCGCTGGTTTATATGACTAAGAAGTGTTGAACGTTGCTGTCTGGAGAGGAGCAAATTGGGCTGCTAGGGTTCCTTGTGCCAAGGTTTTATGCTACCATGGCACGCAGGGCTGTGTGACCCCAAACCAGTGGGAGCCCCAACGCTGAGTTTGTGGGGGACTTTGGTACATCGTGGCACAAGTGTCAAGCTCACCCGAGGGAAAGTGCTGATGTGGAAAGGAGCCAGCAGGGCAAAACCCAGGGTGCTGAGGGATTGGGAAAGCAGCAGTTTTATTGAGGTAGGAAACCCAGTTCCTGGAAATGGGGTTATCTGAACCTCAAGCCCTTGGGGTTATGGCATAGTTTGGGGGAACTCTGGGTATAAAACCCCCAAAGCAGCGCTGTTACCCTGTAAAACTGTTTGCTTCCAGGGTGATCCATGGCCAAGCAGTGATCGATGTCTTTATTTACTGTCTTAGAATTCTACATATTTATGCAGCTAAAGGTATGAGGGCGTTTACGTTGGCAGCTGCAGAGCGCATGAAGGAGCTGCGGAGACTCGATGCCAAGGAACACAGAGGAAAGGTAATGCTGAGCACCTCCTGCAAACAGCAGCATTTGGGATGGCACAGGCTGCGTGGCCGAGAGCGACCGATGCTGTGAAAATCCCCTTCAGCCTCCCTGTTACTGCAGGAGTAGCTCTGAGCAGTTGCTATGCCTTGCTCTGGCGCTCTGAAAGCGCTGCACTTGATTTGCCATCTGAATTAGGGCAGGAGAGCTCAGCAGGAGCTGGAAGTGCCCCTCACTCACGGTGCCACGGGTTCTAAACCTGCCTGTGATCTCCCCTCGGTTTGTGCACCACAACCCTTGGCCTTCTAGATCCCATCCGACCCAGCCTGCTCTCCCTTTCTTTTTTTATGATCACATCTCCTTCCAGACTCTCAGGGCTCTCTGCTGTGCTGCCATTCCAGACCCCGCTCCTGGTGGCCGTCACTGCCCGGCAGCCAGCGATCGTCCACGATTTGATCCAGGCAGGAGCAGATGTCAATGCTGTAGACAACAAAGGGCAGTCAGCTCTGCACCTTGCTGCAACGTATGGGTATGCCCAGGTTCTCCAGGTAGGAAAAGCTTTCATGGTTTAATTGCTAGCAATGTAAGCCTGTGTTTTTGTCTCATTATCGCCGTCTTTAAAGAACTTTCAGAAGGGAAGATGTCTGTAAGCAATTAAGATTTTAAGAGGAGAAAAAAGTGTATCTTTCCATTCATGTTAGGATCTTCCCAGGGTTTTTTTTTTCCTAATTTAGGATTTGCAGCCAACACCATCACAGAAGGAATCTCCTCAGCTTATCTGTAGGGGAGAATAAATTCTTCCTGCTGAGCTGATGGCGGGCTGGATGAGGTGGGCTCACTTGGGTTGAACAAGACTGCAGGGTGTTGGACAAACCCAAAGCTATGGGATATACAGCTCCAGCAGCCATCAGTTCTGCTTGGCACACGTCCTGGGAGGGCCAGCAGCAATGGTTAATGTATAACGCGGGCAGTTCTTTGGAAAGCAGGTGTTTCATTTAAAGCACCGTGCATTCAGATAATTCCATCAGTGCCAACTGGAGTGGTGGAAATGAATCTGTTTTATTCTTCTCAGTGTTTATTTTTTAAACATAAAAAGAGGAATCAGAGGGAGCAAGGAATAGTGCACGAGGGTTTGCTCCTTGCCTGGGTCACAGGCATGACATGCAACAGCATTTTTTGGCTTTGTTCTTCTTCTTAGCACCTGAGACGTCTAATCTCTACACATCAGCTCAAAGCCTCTTGTCAGTGTTTGCTTTGGGTATATTTTATTCTTGTTATGATAAGAGAGCACAAGCCCTAACGTTTCTGAGTAATCCTCCTTGTGAAGTCACCACGCAGCCAAATCCCCGTGCAAGATGCTGTAATGAACAACATGCTGCCTTCAGTCCAGAGCAAAATATACACAATCTGTAGTCTTTCAGACAAGGAGCTATTTGGCAGCATCACATCAGATCTGTTCTTTAAGGCACTTCTTTTGCTCCGTTCTAAACCCAAGCAATGCTCACCTACAGACCACTGTGTCACTCCTGCATGCTTATCCTTGCTAAGAGTAACTTGGAACAAACGTGAAGTGGGGTGACCAAGGTATGCCTGTGCTCAGTGCAGGGGAAGTGTGAGGAAGTTAACACCCTTGAGCTCAATTTTAGGAACTGAGAATCTAGTAGAACCCAACGGGGTATTCTTGGGTTCGTTTTAGGGGACTTAGGGAACGTGATCAGCTTGTGAGAACCTGAGTGACATCCCTGCTAGGAAATAGGACTCAGCGTGCCAAAATCTAGTGCCAAACTGCTTAGCCTACAGTTAAATTATAATTACCTCTTGTCTAATTGCCTCTTCTGGGGGGGTTGGTTGGTGGTCTTTTCCCATCTTTTGTTAGCTCCGACTGTTGTGATTCAGACAATGTTCTGCTGAGCTAAAATTGTCCCAATTCTCTGTCACTCCCAGGTGATTCTTTCACAAGGCCTCCCTCTCGATTTAGAAATGAAGGATTTTGAAGGTGAGACCTTATGCACAAGCATTTTATAGTGGTCCTAAAAGAAAGAAAGAAAGAAAGAAAGAAGTGATGCCATTGATGTCAGTGGCTGATGCTGATGTGCATTGGGGTCGGCTGATGTGTGGGGTGGTGGGCTCAGAGGCATCGTTGCTGGAAGCTCAAATGTCACAGAGTTCAGTGGTGCCTCAGTGCACACATGGAGCCGAGTACACACCAAAATGCCCCCAAATTGTCTGTGCAGCCAGAGTGGGACTTTTGGAATTAGAGAAAGGTCTCGGGGCTTAAAGACACCCTTGCCAAGATATGTGCATAGTATCTTTGGAGTGGAAAGGACCCTTAAAGGCTACCTGGTCCAACTCGCCTTCAGTGAGCAGAGACACCCACAGCTCCATCAAGAGCTCACATCCTTCCCTTACGGTGCTGCTCTGATGGGGGCCATCATCACTCCCTCCCCAGGCCATACCCCTCTGCACTGTGCTGTCCTGGCCCACAACACACTGCTGCGGGACCGGGGCCGCCTGGCACTGCCAGAACAGCAGAGTGAAGAGCTGCAGCTCCAGAGCTGGGAGCTGGAGACCTGTGTGCAGCAGCTGGTGCAGGCGGGAGCTTCCATCTACAGCCGGGTAGGAACTGCTTCTCCCCATCCCTCGTTTGTCCCCCTGCCGTTTGTTGGTATGGGGATTCTGCCTTAAGATGCTCTGCGGAAAGATTCTCATTTGGTTGTGTTTGTCTGCACTGAAATAGGATGTGAAAAGCAACAAGACAGTTCTTCATTACACCGTCCAGGATGGGAACGTCTCCCTGCTCCGCTACTTCCTGGAGCTGAATGCTTTCAAATCCAAGGACTTCATCAACAGCAAGGTGAGCCCAGACAGAGGCAGCGCAGAAAGCACTGGGGTCCTGCAGAAAGCACTGGCTCCCCTCCCAGACATGTTTTTGAGCAGCAGAGGCACTGATATGGGACTTCGTGCAGGGTTTGGGCTGAGCCCTGGCAGCAAGACAGATAATGGGGGGGAGAGGGATGTGGGAAATGATTTCTTGGGGAGGGATGGGAACTTTGTGAAGTTTAGCTGGGCTGAAGGTTAGCGTTAGGGTTAGGGTTAAGGTTAAGAAAATAGCTCAGCAGTGATGTGATGCTTTGCTGTTGGCAGTGTTTGGGGCAGCTGTGTGTTGGTAACCTGCCCCGGCAGTGCCCTGCACAGCAAGGGACAAAGCTCCAGTGCTAAATGCATGGAGTCGGGCACTGCTTACAGAGCTGAGATGTTGCCTCAGTGTGGTGTTTCTATGGGCATGGCCATCCTGGATGGGCTGGGAGCTTCCCAGCCCTGCTGCTGTCACCCACCCCCTGCCTGCCCCACGCTTCACCTCTGAGCAGACACATAGCAGTGACACTATCTTGCAGCTCCATCAGCTGCACCCATCCTCCTGAGCAGAGATCCTGACATTCCTGTGTGTGCTGAGCAATTGCCCTGCACTGTCAGCCAGAGATCCCAGCAGCTGCCACCTCTGTGCAGCTCTGGGGAAAGATTTGGGTGCTCCTGCAGAGCTGAGCTGTTTGCTAGGGCACAAAACCCAACCTTTTGGGCTGGAGGATGGGAAAACATGTTTGGTTTAGTGTGTACGCACTGGGTTTTTATTTTTCTTTTATTGCATTCTTTCTGTATCTTTTAAGAGCCATCAGGCACGTGCTATCTTGTCCAGGGGAGTCTGCTGTTGTCTCTTGATCACAATGCTGGGAGAGCTTCTTACCGCGATAGGATCGCTTGGAGCTTTGTTGGTGGGATGCCTGGGACAGGGAGAAATGCAGTGGCAGGGTTGGCTGCTCCTATCTGGGCTTCCTACCTCTTCCAAGCACGGCGAAGAGAAGAAAATGGAGATTTTGTGTTTCGGCTTTCCTGGCTCACCCTTTGCTTGCTGCAAGTTGTCTCATTCCAAATTCAATCGACTGTGGATCTCACGATGAGAAAACCATTGAAGGTTCTGAGGCATTTTTCATCTCACCCATTTCGAGAGCCCAGATGTGCTCTGAAATTGTGGCTCACACAAGTCCCACTAAAGTCAGTGGAGGGGCTTCAAGATCAAGCACTGCCAGCTGGCCTGGCCCTCATGGCCTTGTGCCTGGGCTTGGAAGCTATCGAGTGCCTCTGCCACCAAGATGCAGCAAACAAATGCAGACGTTTCCTTTTTAATGAGCATTCGTATAAAGACCTTATAAACTTTCTCTTGAGTTTATGGGATGGTAAAATTGACAAGTGCCTGCTTGTTCGGTGCTTGTAAAAATGCCTTGCCTGCGAATAGCTATTGAGATTTCCATTCTAATTCGCTGTTTTGTTTCGTGCTTCCAAGTCTCTGAGGTCTGGCTGGTAAAAAGGAGGTGAAAATCACACACGTCCCTTTTCGCAGTTGGTGCCATCTGTGCCCATCTTTCCCAAACTCATCAGAAACGTCTGATTGTTTCAGTGAGGAACAAACAGATACAGCTGCCCCAGCGAGACTTGGTGCCGACTAAAAATACCTCTCCTTGTGCATCTGCATGCTTGCTGCTCGCCGTGTCAAACCGTTACGGGTCATACCCCAGTGGGCAGCGTTAGGGTTGCATGGGCAGGTGCCATGCCTCGTGCTGAGCTCCCCTGCTCAGCCTGTACTGCATGGAGGGATGTGAGCTGCTGGAGCTCTGGTTCTCTGCACCCTTCTGCAGTGCCTTCCTGAGCACCTCCTGCTGAAGCCATGAATGGGGAGCAGGGGTAGGGATACTCTCTCGGCTCTGGATAAGAAATGGCGTGAGGTTTCTTGATGTCCATTACGAGGGCAGTTCTAAAAAAGGGGCACGACCCTTCAGAGGGTTTTTCTTTATTTTTAGGCCCATGGAAACACAGCCCTGCACATGGCGGCTGCGCTGCATGGCGACAAGAACCAGAAGGAAATCATTCAATTGCTCCTTGACCACGGGGCAGACCCGAGCATCCGAAACTTAGACAACGACCAGCCGATCCACATGGCTCCTTCTGGGAAAGCTGGGGACCAGGTGAGTGTTCCTGCTGCTCCAGTGCCCTCTGCCTTTAACGGAGGAAACAGGGAGGACAGCCTGGGCAGCCTGGTCTGGTATTAAATGTGGAGGTTGGTGGCCCTGCATGGGGCAGGGGGTTGGAGATTCGTCATCCTCTGAGGTCCATCCCAACCCTGGCCATTCTGTGATTCTGTGAGGACGCTGTGTGCCAACAGTGCTGGCCAAGTTGTGTGGCATGGGGCTGAGCTCGCTGGGGGATCCCTACTTCAGCAAATCCAAAATGAAGGAGCACAAAGCAGGCTTTAGAACCAATGGATCGTTAAGGTTGGAAAAGACCTCTAAGATCATCAAGTCCAACCATCAGCCCACCACCACCATGCCTACTGAACCACAGCTGTGCTATACCAATCTACAGCTGTTCCCCAATGGCAGCATGACTCAAGGGAAGATGGGGTTTCATGTCTATGGGTATGAAAGGGCTCCTGGAGCTCATTTTAGTCTCAGTGAGTTAGAATGTATATTTAGTCTGGGAGTATATTATGGGGGGGGGGGGTGTATGCATCTTAGTGTCCACACGCAGCTTGTGACTGTCACTCCCCACAGCTTCACGTGGTGCATTGTAATACACCATATATATATCATATAATACACTATACAATAATACCTTTGCATATTTTTTTTTGCAGGTCAGGCATTTGCTGAAGAGAGGGAAAGTCACATCAGCATTCATTTCCTGCTGCCGAAATGCCAGATCCTAGGTTGGAATGGCTTCAGCTTCAGCCTGTGGCACGAAGCCCCATAGAACAGCCATGAGGATGGTTAACCAGCGTGTCTCTGCCCCCAGAATCTATACGCTGGGGTGGGATGGCAGTGTTTCTCAACCTGTGGCCTTTGGACCACGAGTGGCATGGGAGATATCAAGAGATAAGCTCTGAGATGGCAGAGAAGCTTATTTTGTCAACAGGGAATGCTAATAATCCCAGGACACAAATGAGCAAACATTTAACATGCAGCCAAGCTTTGATTTGGTGGCAAAGGGCAGCCAGGACACAAGATGGTCCTTGGTAGCAATGGTTGAGAAATACTGCTCCAAGCCCTGCTCTCATCCTGTGCAGGGGCACTGGGTGAAACGCTGAAGCCTCTGTGATGTGCAATGAGCTCGACTGTCCTTGGGATGCACAAACCTGGGGGGAAGGGGGAGAAAGACTGGACCGAAGAGGTCGGCACCAAGACTGCAGTTTCCAGGGGCACGGCTGAACTGAAGACCTCCACGGGAGGAGGAGCAGCTCGTTCCTGCAAGCTGCCGCTCTCCCTGCTCTTAGCACTTTGAGGAAGGGAGCTGAATCAGCTCTCCATTGCCCCATCGCTCACCCCAACCCTTGAAAGGAGAGCAGATGCTTGTGGGAGCAAGCGCGTGGCGCGGCTTCTCTCCTGTCCTCGTCCCACGTTAAGAAGTTCTTATCCTTTCTGTGAAATGATTTGTGAATTGCTGTGCAATCAGCTGGCGGTGTGCGGGGCAGGAGGAGTGAAGGCAGGTGCCTGCAGGGGGTGAGAGCTCTGCTGGGACAGCCAACACAGAGGTTCTCATCCCCGGCGCACGCTCTGCATGTTGTTCTCTCAGCCTTGCAGAGTTGTTTTCTTCCACTGGGGCTGAACTGATTAAGTTGAAGGGCAAATCTCTTAAATCACCCCCGTGACTTCCTCCATCGCCCATTAACTCAATGCAGCAGGGCTTTGTTAAGCACTTGCGAGCCCTGCAAACCCTTCAACGACTGTTTTGCAGATCCAAACAAAAGCTCTTAAGAAATGCAGGAATCCCGATTAGAGACCTCCTGACTTCCTCATCCCTCCTCTTTGCTGGTTGGCTACCGCTTCTCACTACATCATGCCTACAAACCTGCCAGCGCCCTCTGACAAAAAAAAAGCGGGCGCCTATTTGCATGTGTTTGCATAAATTTGCATGTATCTGGGCACGGGCCGGCTCAAGCATGTGCTTCCTTGCTTTGATGGGATGCTGTAACGAGACCCAAATGAGTGAGAACTGCATTGACGAGGAAAAGTGGGGAATAAATTCTCTTTCTCGACCTTGAGACGATCCCTCTCGCGGCTCAGCAATGATCCCCGCGCCGTTCTGTGCCAAAATGCATTTCATCCCTTTGGGTCTGATCGCAGGATCTCCACTTCTTGCAGCTATTTTGAGGAGGAATGTCCCTTTTATAACATCAGCAGCGCTGGCAGCGCTAATACCCCTTGTTTGCACACTTTATCTCTTCCTACCCGTGGCTTCAGATAAGAAGAGAACAAAGGCTCGTTAACGCTGAACAAACGCTTCCAAGTGGCACCATGGAAAAGCCATTGGGCGGCTGGCAAGGAAAGCTTTTTGATCAGATCCTCTGAGCAACCGGTTACAATAAGAGCCCTTTATTTCCTCTGTAACTGCAGGCTGCTGCCGGAGCAGAGTGGGGAGATCCTCATTTCTGAGTGCCCACGTGTTTGTCCCACCTGGCGGGGACCGGCGCTTGGTAGCGCTGTGCCAGTTCTGTTAGAGCTGCGGCATGAGCCACTGTCATGTAATCAGCTTTTACAAGGGAGGAAAGCAGGGAAATAACGTGCTCCTCACGGCCACAAAATCCACCGTCAGCCTTTGAATGGTTTCCCCCTCTGTTGTTTTTTCCTCCCAGTTCACAATCAGCCCAGGAATCCTTGTGTCAACAAGGGGCGAGCTTCGGCTCGCACTGCACGTGTGCAGCTGTTGACACAGCATTGGGGATTGGTGACTGCAGCCCCCTTGCTATGGGGAACTGCAAAACAGCATAAAGAAGTGCAGCAGGGAAATGGGAAATGGCAGCCAGGGATGGAGGGTGACTTAGTTAACAGATGGGGACAGTGTCAGCCCTGCTGTGCTAACGTGGGCGCTCTCCTTGTATGCTTGCAACCCATTGGCACATGTTGTTTCCTTTGCTGCACACGAACACACTCTGGCAGTTCTTGCTAATGCAGCCAGCCCACGGGGAGGATGTGGTCATCCCATTTCCACCAGCAGCCTCAAACATCTCACCTCTGCCTTATCCTCCCGTGGCTGTTTAATGTTGGTGAGGATGGACTTCAAAGTGTGAGGCATCGAGGAGCTCAGCAGCGTTGGGGCAGGAGGTGACCATAACCCCACAGAGAACAAAGCACCTCCAGCACCACTAAATGACACGTGTTGGAGCATCACAGAGGTGATGGCACTTTTATCTGCAGCAGCAGCACAGCTGCTGACTCCTATTTATAACAGGTTTAGTGCTTGGGCTGGCTCTGAGCACTGGCACAGGTTGCCCAAGGAGGCTGTGGATGCCCCATCCCTGCAGGCATTCAAGGCCAGGCTGGATGTGGCTCTGGGCAGCCTGGGCTGCTGGTTGGTGACCTGCACACAGCAGGGGGTTGGAACTGGATGAGCATTGTGCTCCTTTTCAACCCAGGCCATTCTATGATTCTGACCAGGTGAAAACAGGGAAGAGAGGAAAGCATCACTGAAGGTTGTGGTGAAGGTGGAGCAATATTGCTTGGGTTTGTTGGTTGTTTTTTTTGGTAGAATGGAGGAAGTTCCCTATCTGCCAGCAGATTTGTTGAGTGTTTGACTGCCTCCAGCTCTGGGCAGAGGGAAGGTGTTCAGTTGCAAGAGCCACCAGAGAACATTACTGGGGAAGCTGAAGAGCTGGAGGTGTGCTGGGGGTTGAGGGCTTCTTCCTCATCTTTGTGAGCCTCCATCATTAGCCAAAGAGAAAGTTGCTGGCATTCAGCACACAAGCAATGGGCACTGTGAGTACCAAATGATTTATTTGTGACACAAAGAGCTGGTGTTAGTGACACGGGTTTGGTAAGGCAGCTGGGGGGAAGTTCTTAGAAAAACAAAACCAGGGAATAAAATAAAGACCAAATAAAAAAAAGCTACCCCCGACCACAGAAAACAGGAGGATGAATGTAGTGGCAACACCATGTGCGAGTAGTGATGAGTTGGAGGCAGTGCAACCGTATGCAGTTCCCAGGCAACGATGCCAACGTGAAGGCAGCGTGCAGCCCCTCCCCATTAGCTGTAACAGATGTCCCAGCTCCTGTCCCTCCTGAAGAAGTCGTCAGTGGGTGGCAGGCAGCCCGAGCAATCCGTGCCAGGGCAGGGGAAACGTTGTGGGACCTTGGGGTCGGTGTGCGGGGGGCTGCAGGCAGCACAGCAGCAGGCGAGGGGCGTGTAGGGGGATGGGGGGTGGCAGGGCCAGCCCTCTGCTGGGCAGCCGTAGGGCATGGGGTCCAGGGCAGGAGGTGGGCTGTGGGTCAGGGGGGTGAATGGGGGCAGCTGGGGAGCGGGGCAGCCGTGGGGCAGCGCGTTGGGCAGATCAGCTGGGCTCGGGGATGCTGCAGCCTGCAAGGGAGAGAAATGAGAAAAGTGGGTTTTGGTTTGGAGTGTCGTCTTGGGGATGCAGCGGGACAGCTGGGATTGCTGCAGTGCTGCCCATTCAGAGGGTCTGGCTGCACAGAAGGTGGGTTGGCCCTTGGAGGATGGCCTGGTTTCAGCTGGGATAGCTGGGATATTCTCCATATTGCCTTGTGTGATGCTATGTTTTGGCTTTAGGAGAAAAACACTGATAACACACCAATGTTTCTTGCTGCTCCTCAGTATTGATGCACAGAGCCAAGGACATTTCAGCTTCTCATGCTGCCCTGCTAGCGAGGGGGCTGAGGGGCACAAGGACTTGGGAGAGGACAGAACCAAGACAGACAACCTAAGCTGGCCATATGGATATTCCATCCCATGTGGCATCATCACAGCAGCAGACTAAACCCTGTTCCAGTTCTACGAGCACTGACAGAGACCTCCTCTGAGCTCTGTGGGATCTCCATGCAGAGCACCACCTGCGTTGTGATGCCTGCACTTCTGAAGCACCCCCGTTCCCAAATCAGCTCGCTGCTGCTTTGCCCCATGCTGTGACCCCATCCCCAGCATCTCTCGGAGCACACAGTGCTTACCAAGCCCTGGTTGAAGCAAAGAGGGACTGGCTGGAAGGAGTCAGGGATGTAATGTGATGGTGTCTGCAGAGTGCCCAGGGATGGCTCGAAGGCTGCCTCCGCCTGCAGGTAGGAGTCCACCAGCTGCTCCAGGTGGCTGGGGCTCTCCTCGCAGGAGAGGCAGTTTGAGAACTGCCTTGATGGGCAATAGTTGGGAGCTGAAGAGATGGGTTCTGCATCAAAAGGTGCTGGGGGAGAAGGTAAAGCAAGAAGCAGTGCATTATTCAGTATCTGTTCTCCCAAAGGTGTGCAGGTGCAAGTAGGAGCGTGTAGCTGGATGGGGGAAGGAGTGAGAAGTACCCACACTACATTAACAGATGGAGATTTACCACCCTGAAAGACCTTGAGTACATCTCATGTTTCTGTATTAACATAAGCAAATTGATTCCTAAATATTGATGATTTAATCATTTCCTTGTCCACACAATGTATATATTCACACATGCCCAACCCTTGAGGTCTCTTTGCTTTGGCTGCAGAATGCTCGAAGGACCTGAAAGCCCCGAATGCCCTTCCCCCTTTCCTTGGATATCCACTGAGATGGGGAAGGAACTGAAAATCTGACACTCCTCTCACTGCTGCAGGGGCTGCCAGCAGAGCAGGAACAGCCAACAGTGCACAGTGCTCCCAACCCATGGGCTGCAGCCCAGGGACAGCAGTGCTCTCTGGGGCTGAGCATCCATTGGGGAAGGGGCTCTGCCTTCCTGCAGTGGGAAGCTGCCCAAGCAGAGAGTTGGATGGTGCTCCTGCAGAGGGGATTATGTCCCCCGTTGGCCTCTCGGCATCCTCGTCTGCATTCCATGGGCTCCATTCAGGTGCCCATTGGCTGCACTGCTGGCTCTCTGCCTTAACCAAGGGCTGGAAGGACGCTGGGCTGAGGGAATGGTTGGGAAGGGACGCTCGAGTGGGCTTTGTACCAACCTGGGTGAGGAGGAGACACGGACTCTGCAAACTGGATGCTGTTGCTGCCCCAGGAAACCTGGCAAAGAGAAGGGGAGAGGAGGGTCTGGAGGTGCTGTAATGCAGGAGTGTTTTTCTGCACTCTGAGGTAAGTCGTTTTGCTTCAGGCTATTCACATAAACCTCATTTCTCTCAGGGCTGAGGCACTGTAAGCTTCTCTGGAACCGACAGAGCAACATTCTCAACCTGAGCTTGTGCAGATAACGGGGCTGGAGGAGCACAGCACCTGGTGCAGAGCTTTCAGTAGAACATCGTCAGCACGCTCTGCCTGCTGCCTTGTTGCTGTCACTGCAGCAGAGATGAGGCTGCCTTGCAAACCTCCCCATGTGGACATCTCTTCATTCCCAGCATTGTGGATCACCAGGAACTCGTAGGGATGGGTATGAACAAGAGCAAGCCATTTAGTGCAGCAATAACTGCCTTGAAGTGTGACTAAAGGCATTCCAGTTGTCTCCATGGCCAGGCATCTCTGGATCACTGGGGCTGATGCCAAAGCTGTTTGAGATACAGCACATCTCCCCCTAACACAGCTCTGTGCCCCCATGGCAAGTGCTGGGATTCCCAAAGGATGCTGCAATCTGCAGTTGATGGGTCTGTGTTTGTTCCAGGAGCTTGACTGGAGGGAAATCTGTGCCCCAAAAGCAATGGGAATATTGATGCTTGTGCCCTGGGACTAGGATTTTACTCTGCAAATGCAAATCCTCTCTCCCCTCTCCCCCCCCAGCTGTAACTTACACAGGCTTCTACTTCTTTTCCTCTATTCAAAATGCTGATAGCTCATTTTCCTGCTAATAGCTTCCTCTCCCCACGTGTTTAAATCATTAAACAGTGGAGCTGGTAGGCCTGCCCCTCCTGGCTTTGGCTGCAGATGTGCACCACAGCAGAAGACTTCAGGCCCAGCTCAGGCAGCAGCCGATCCCTCTAGGACAACCAGGAATCCACAGTGGGAACCTCCTGCCCTCTGGCCTCCATTTGGCTTTTTCCTTTATGGGTCAGATCAGCACGGTGCCAGCTGGCTCCAGGAAGGAAACCAATTGCACACTGCGCTGAGGCTGCGTGGGAGCAGAGACCCCCCTGTTCCCAAAGCCCAGCAGCTCCGTGCTTTGCTGGCCCCGATGGCTCCACCTGGCTTCCAGCCTTGTGCAATCAGCTGCCATCAGGGTGCAGGGAGATGAGATCTGAGAGCCATGCCAAGGTGTGGTGTCACGAACCGGGAAGCAGGAATGATTTATTGATCTTTTCATGCAAATCCCCAGCGCGGCTGGAGCTGGAGGGCTCTCACACCGATGGGGAGCGTTGGCGTGCGTGCGCTTTGCACACAGGTGAACCCACCTCCTTCCTTCCCCTCTCCGAGAAGGGACAGAGCTCAGGTTGTGCTGGATAACACAAGAGACCCGGATTCCCGTATTCCCAAACCCTGCTTGGTTTCAGCACGGCACACCTTTGCCCTGGCTGCCATGGACACATCCTCCACCTGCACCAGGCTCTGCCCAGCACCGCTTTGCACCACTGCTGCGGTCCCGACTGAGTTTCCTTCTTCCCTATCACCCCGCCGTGCTCAAATCCCACGTCACATAGATCACAACCTTGGCAAAAACATTACATAAACGATGAAGGGAGAAGGCGCACAGCAGACACCAAGTGGTTTCACTCACCGCCGCGCCGGTTGCTGCTTGCCGTGCCCTTCTCTGCTGCAGCAACTCCTTAACAGTGATCTTTACTCTGACACCTTGGTACACTTTGGGCTTTCCTGAAAGAAAGGATGGAAAAACTCTCCTCAGGACGGGAGGCTTTTTGGGAGCACGTGGCGTGTTTGCAGGCACCCCCTGCTTACAGCTAACAGTTCACTGCTCTCTCTGTAAGCGACTTGCAGTGGCAATTCTTTCACACCTGCTAATCAAGCTTGTGACAAGCAGGTATTTATGAGGGAAAAACAAAACAGCAGTTGTTGATCATACATATTAATCATATAGGTTTTATTCTTTGGTATCTCCTTCTATTTTTCCCTCCAGGTGTCCTAACATCCAGCTCCATCTGGTACTGCTGCTGCATCCCTTTAAACCCCCTCGTGTTTGCTGCTCCCAGGACCTGAAGTGGGGACTGCTTTGTCTGACAGATGAAGGGCAGGAATCAAACAATACAAATACATGGGTGGTTATTCAGAGGGTTAAATAAAACACAAATAAAATGCCTGCTTTCATGCCTTTTTTTTTTGGCAAAGCCTGGATTGTCTCTTTGATTCACTCATTCTGTGCAACTCCCATTGCCTTCAAACAAACCTTTAGGATGCCTTTAATCCAGCTCCAAACAACCATCAATCATCAGTCACTACCTGAGCAGGGATTTTTAGTACAGGAAATGGCAAAGAATTTATCTCATCTGAAGAACCACTTTCACCTGTTGTACTCATGCTGAAATCCTTAAAGCCTCTGGCAGTTCAGTTTCCGTCCTGACTTTCTGCTGTTATTTCCATCCCACAGCCAATCCTACGCACACCAGCATGGTCCCAGCCCACGGCTGCTTGCAGGCTCCCTGTCCCATAGCAGCCTGTGCTCACACATCGAAGAAACCCCACTGCAGGCACTCTGCTCCCCCTGCTGTGACCTCTCCCTGCTGCTGATGGATGTGCAGCATCTCTCCATCCCGTCTGACCTCCCCTGGTTGAAGGGATGCTGCCAGAGGTGCTGGATCCCCCTGGAAGCAACTCAGCAAGCTCAGTTGGGGCTTCTTCCAGGAGACTTTGCTGAGCTGCACCCTCAGCTAAATTGAAGAAGTCCCTTTAGCAGGCCCTATAGTCAGGAAGGGCACCCAGCCTCCTGTAAGTTTGGGATGCATGCAGCACGTCTGCACAGGGAGGCAGGCAGGGCTGCCAGCTGCACCACGAGTGCTCTCAGGACAACACACCAGCTGAGGAATGGTCTTATCTCTAAGCTCTGGACCGGCTGGGGGGGTGGGGGGGAAGCTGCGCCCCGAGCAGACTGGTGGGTAAGGCTGCCAGCTCCTCTGGGCTGAGCACGGAAGGGGCGAGGGATGCGGGGCCGGGCAGAGCGAGGGCAGGCTGGGGCAGAGCGATAGCAGAGCGGCGGCTGGAGGAGCGGAGGGTCCCGGCTGCGTGGCCGGGGCTGGGGGGGGATCCGTCGAGCAGCTCTGCCCGCTGCGCTCCGTCGCGCCCCGGCCCCGTCGGGCGAGAGCCGCGCTGCCTCCTCCCCGCTCCCCGCCCTCCCGTTTCCTCTTCGCCCGGGGAGGCGACGCTGCCTCATCGCACGCCGAATGACCCCGCGGAACTCCGAAACGGCCCCAAACCGGGCTGATGCCGTGGGCCGGGGGCTTACCGGACATCCTGAGCGGCGGCGGCAGCGGCTCGCCCGGCGGCCCCAGTGCAAGCGGCGGCGGCCCCGGCCCCGCGGCGGGGGATGGGGGCTGGAAGCGGCGAGCTGGGAATTGGGGGGCCGAGGGACCCGCCGGCCTGGTGGCGATGCCAGGTGGTGCCCGCTCAAATATTATTGTTTTATACCTACGGGTATAAGTTTGAGTTTTTCTCCCCTTATGCCAAGTATTTAAAACCTCTAGAAACCAATGATTTGACAATCAATGATTGCGCGATACTTTCAATTTGAATATTCAAAGGCTCCACAAAATGGGCTATCTTTTTGTGAAACCGAGCACATCCCCATCTAGCAGAGGGTCTGGGGGAATAAGATCCAGTGGGGCTGCCCTCCTCACCCTGTGCTTTTCTGACATTTTCAGGGTTTTCTCCATCTTTCCCCAAACGAAGCAGATGCCTCGAACCCAGCTCAGCATTTTCCCCTCAGACGTGCAGGCTGGGCTCCAGCCCTCTCATATTTCATGTGCTACCTGCACAGAGGACTCCACAAGGGACCGAGTGGCTTTTTGCACAATTTGTCCCCTTTTAAGGGGAAATACTCTGGATTTCGGACCAAAATGGCACTGGGAGGATGTGGCCAAGCAGAAAGGCCACACTGGGCATGCTGGTGGAAAGCACCCAGACCCTGCTTCTTCCCAAAGCACTCCTTTCTCTCTCCCCACATGCTGGCCTGGTGCTGGAGTTTCCATTCACGTTCCCCTAAATGCAGGCTGTGTGCTCTCCCTGCACAAGGCAGCCCCTCTCTCGGGTGCTGCAGCACTGGCCTGCCCCCTGTGCTGCAAGGAGAGGGGCTGCAGCCTGGAGGGACGACGCAGATTTAGGGCAACTCCTGCTTAATATCAGTGTATTTGGGGTTTTTGGTTTTGTTTTAAGTCATGTTTAATCTTTACATAGCAGTGTCGGGCCTCAGGAATAGCTGGCTGATGCCAGAAAGCAGGCCGGGCTGTTAATCATCTACCAGCTGCTCAATTGGGGTTGTTGTTGCAGCTGAATCTTTTCTTGAAGTAGAACAAATGCACTCAATTTAGGGGAGGAGGGGGAAGGTGGTGATCCCTTCCTTTGCTCTCCACTTGTGCCGGGTTCAGGGATGCTGCCCCAGTGAGGAGCCCTCTCCCCATCCTGTGATGTGGCACCTGATGATGTTAAGTGTCCTGATGCCCTTGCATTGCTGGGGATGCTTCCCAGAAGCCACAGTGGTGGTTGCCTGTGGAGCTGGAGATGCAGAAAGGAGCCTATTCTTGGATAAGGAGAGTTTCCAGCCTCAGTGAAGAGCTGAGTGCTGGAATGGGTCAAACACATCCAAAAGAGCTCTCCTGGAGCTCGGCTGCTGGCACCCTCCATGGGCCGAGTCTGTTTCTCCCCCCGGGCAAACAGAAAGGTGCGGTCCGAGGGCTTCGGGGCACGAGGAGCCGCCAGGGTTTGCATTTCCCAACAGGTCTGAACAGGGCTGGGGAATCAGGAAGCGACAGCGGGGCGGGAAGCCAGGACAGGACCGGAGCCGGGTGCTCCCGGCCGGCAGCAGCCGCACAGCGAGGCTCTGCTGGGGGGTACCGGGGTGAGGCTGTGGGGCTGGGTACCGGTACCGGGACACCTGAAAGCAGAGGAGTACGCCCCGATCTCTGGTTTGGGGGCGTTGTAGGGTACGGGGGCTCGGGTGGAGCCCGTGGAGCGTGAGAAATCTTGGTGGGCTGCGGGAACGCGCCGGGCTGTGGCTCATCGAGGATCTCCTGCCGCATCCCTGCGCACCCGCGGACGCTGGGATTCCTCCCGGAGGGTTTCGCTGCCGGTTCCGTGGGTACCCGAGGGAAGGGGCAGCGCAGGACTCGCGTGTTCGTGTGAGCAGAGCTACCTCTAGCGGCCGCCGCTGCGCCCCGGCGTCGGGCCCGGTGTTCGCTCCGGTACCGGGCGCTGCCGGTGGAATGGAGAGCAAAGGGGTGGGGGGGGGGCGTCCGTGGGAATTGCTTTCATAAGCTAGATGTGATGTATCAGTGCCTCTGTTTGCACTTTCTGCTTGAAGGATCAGCTAGGGAAAAGCACATAAGTAACTCAATTGCTTCAGTAATAAAGTATTTTCCTTCTCCAGCTCTCAGAGGCCCTAGATGGATCTTCCATCTTCCTTTGCCCAGGCAAGGGTGTGGTGAAGGGCTGAAAGTTTGTTATGGGGTGAGTGGAGTTGGGTCGTAGGGAGCAGCAGGGATGGGGAGCTGCCCAGACAGCAAAGGATGTTTCTAGAGACTTCAGCAGGCTTAACGGAGCAGTTGTCTGGGGATAGGGAAAGCTATTTGTTTAGGTCTTGATCAGGGAAAGGATGAGATGGAAACAAACAGAAGGTGGTGATGCACTGGAACAGGCTGCCCAAGGAGGCTGTGGATGCCCCATCCCTGCAGGCATTTAAGGCCAGGCTGGATGTGGCTCTGGGCTGCTGGTTGGTGACCTGCACACAGCAGGGGGCTGGGACCGGATGAGCATTGTGCTCCTTTGCAACCCAGGCCATTCTATGATTCTGTTAAAGTTTCTGCTTGCAGTAGCTGGGAGGAACAAACCTGCTGTGGGCAGGAGAAAGGGATGGATGAGGGGAAAATCACACCTGGGGAACCACAGAGCCCCTTTGCAGGGGCCAAGCAGAGCCCCCTCCCCAGGTAGGAGTCAGTGTGGCTTAACCAGGAGCATCAGCCCAGAGCTTGCAGCACCTGAAGCCAGCACATCTGCACCTGCAACAAGCCAAATGTGCTTGGGGAAGGGAGAGGGGTGAGCCTGTGTCTGGCAGCAAAGCCTCCTGCCTCTGTCCTTTTTCCTGACCCAGGACCTCAAGGAACAGCACTGTCAGCTCCTGGCTTTGTGCTTTTTCAGCTCCAGGGAAGACAGGAAGGCAGAGAGGAAGAAGGGATTTTCCATGTGCCACCTCCATCAAAACAGGTGGGAGCTGTTAATTCCCCCCCCTTCCCCCCCCCCCCCCCATTGGGATTTCACATAAGGCTATAGTGGTCTTCCCTTTGTTATCACTGCTTTTGTGTTAACTCTTTTGAATGCTTTCCTCTGGGGCTGTGTCTTTTTGTCCAAACAGCACAGAAGGCATTTATTTATTGGTGGGGAGGGAAGGGGCAAAAAGATGACTGAGTTGTGTTGCCACTGACCCACAAAAGATAAAGGCACGTTACCAAATGTCTCTTCAAAGCAAGGTAGTTCACTGAGCACGGAGCTCAGGAAGGTGTTGGCGTGGCTGCAATGCGCTGCCTGAGCCTTGGTGCCATCACTATGGGGAGATTATCTTCGAGATTTCAAGCCTGGGGCCTCTGAGGTTTAGCAGATGTAGGCTAAGAAGAGATTTCAAAGGAGAGCCGGTGGCAGAACTATCAAGATAACTGGTTTCTTTCCCATATATTTCAAGGTCCCTCAGCACAGCCACAATGCTGAGCAGTTATTTCGGCGTCAGCACAAAACAGGTCACAGTAAGAGTCGATATATAAGTCCTTGGCTCATCAAAACAGGCTGAATCTGCACGGCCCAGCTCTGTCGTGCTGCATTTCTCTGCTGCAGAGCCTCTTGTGCTGGCTCCTGGTGAGCTGTGTGTGGAGGCAGCAGTCTGTAGCTCCTGGCTGGGTGGTACAGCAATGCTGAGAGCAATAATAATAATAACAATCTCTTCTTGACCCCAAGGTACTTAATTAGCCCTGCGTGACCCTATGTGCTCTGTGGCAAAGACATCTGTTCCTTGGGGGCAGAGCTCATCCGTGGGGCTGTGATGAGCTCTGCGTCTGGACTTTGGCTGGCTGGTGGTGATTCCATGGCTGGTGGTGATTCCATGGCTGGTGGTGATTCCATGGCTGGTGATGGTGCCATGCTGTGTTCAGTTTGCATAGCGCAAACAGGAGGTTCCTGCCGCAGCAAGCAACCAAATTCAGAGGTTTAAGATTTGAATTAAATTTGCCAGCGCTAAGACTTCCTTTTGGTGCTGAGGGAGGCTTGCAGCTGCTCCCTGTTCCAGCATGGAAATGAGTCCTGAGCCCACACAAGTCACAGGAGGTGGCAGGAAGGAGCCCTGTGGCCTGCGGGCAGACAGGATTCACCCCTCAGGGTTGGGGCTGCACCTGCCCAGGGCTGGGTGTCTGCATGGCAGGGCACTCAGTGGCACCATTGCTCCAGAGCTGGAGCTGCCACATGCAAATCGGGGCTCAGCAGACACCCTGCTTGCTGCATGAGCTTCTGCCTGCCCATGGCTACAGCATCTTGCTGCCATCTTGTCTGTATTCTCTTCTGAACCTTTGGCTGAAGGTAATGTTGCTGCCCTCTGCACGAGGATTTGGGCTCCAGTCTTAGCAGGAAGCAGCACTGCTGTGTGACAAACCTCCTTTAGGGAGGGCTTCTCCTGCCTTCATTCAACCGCAGTGCCTCTGCAGCTGCCCTCCCTTGGCTTTCCCTGCAGCAAGCACACTCGTGTTGCAGGGAGCTTGATTTCCATTGCCTCCTGGCTCCTTATCGGGTGATGAATGGTGCAGCTTAATTTAAGCCCATTAGTCCATTTCCTCCTGCATGACTTCCTCTCAGCGCAGTGGGACTGGGCTGGCTGGGCTTCTGCAGCACATCTGCTTAGCATCAGTGCAGCCCACACGTGTTCAGCTGTCAGAAG